CAACCAAACGTATCTTTTGCTGGTGTTTTCTTTCCGCAGTCATTGATGGAGTGGGCTGAGACGATAAATTCACTACCCTCGAGAACCTGGTTTAATCACAGTGTCTGAAACCCAGAATGAACTCCAGGTTCAATGATCTGATCCCTGACCTGTTTGGCCACCCGAGGGTCAACATGTTAAGTGTCCTTTTTACCCTTCCCAAGTTCCATCTTTTGGGAGTTCAAGTGTGCAGGAAACATTTTGGTATTTCCAAAAGGTATTTCCCCCCCCATAGCGAAGAAAGCATTGTTATTTGGTGTGAAAGAGAAGGCTCAAAAAAAGCTTAATTCAATGATTAAACAAGGCTTTGTTGAGGTTTGTTTAGATTCGAGTCATAATTTGCCGTAACTTTTGCACGTCATTTCAAGTCAATTTCAAATGCAAATTAACCTTATGATTTATACCCCACGGTGGTGGGATTTTAACTAGTTCCCCTGGTATACAGGAGGTCGTCGGTTCAATCCTGACCCTGACGCCTGCTGTATATTTGGAGTTTGCATGTTCTAATCCGTGGTCGCATACATTTTTCTCCAGGTCCTCTGGTTTTTTTCTCCACATTTAGAAAAATGTGTTTGAGTCTTTGGCCGCTATAAATTTCCACGTGATACGCCGCTTTCGTGAGCAATCATTTGTGGCCAGGTCATTTCTGAAAAAGAACTATGTCAATCAGTGGGCCTTACCTGGGAAAATAAAAATAGTTCTAATGAAGGTCACACATTCTCAGATAAGTGGCCTTCATTACTCGCCTATGCACTCAAGCTTACATCACGCTGTACGATTTTTAAGCAGAGAGCATTCGGGATGCATTGGCAGGTGCTGCGTTGAACTTGGTACCCGTGCTGGTGCTTAGTTCTATCCCTTTCCCACTGTACAATTGAGTCATGCCGGAGCAGTGCTGAGGAGGCATCAGGTTGATTTTCCACTGCAGAAGCCAAGCCGTTCCGCTTACATCACACGCGATGAACGAGTCGGCGCTTGTAAGTGACGCAGTGACTGATGGCACGGACGATTGCCCCGCTTTGTTTGATCTTGAGCTACTAGATTCAGTTGCTTCATGAGACGGGCGTATAACGGTTTGTTTCAGGCTTGGCACGGCAAATAGCCAGTGGAAAACCACCCGTACTGTGAGAGTCCGCGCGCTAGCTCGCCTCGGATGTGCCAATGCAAAAGGGGTGTTAAATGTGTATATATGACAAATCCAGGATTTACTTTCTCCATTGTGACACTTGCGTCAGTGTATAGATTATGGCTGTGTTTTAACTCGGCGATGAGGCTGAATGTTTAATGCCCTTTTGTTTAATTCACCCCTATTCCTGTATTGCAAACATTGCCCATCAAGGATGTCGACATCAATCAGATTTTCTGCATTAACCCATATAGGGTTTACCGGCCACCGAAATGTGACCTTAGGTCACACGATGTCATGGATCGCGCGCACATGTTTGCATTGGTGGCTGTACCGAAACCGCCCTGAGCTGTGCACTTCTTGACTATTCTGAGAATGTTAGAGAGCAGAGCCGAATTATTGACGTCTACTTTTATATTGAACGCATAAAGTTAACGAGGACAGCTATTTAAAATCTCTTCGATGTTTACATCGCAACTTTGGTACAAAATTTCGAGTAGCTCCTTGCTAAGCATTATTATTGTGCAACACTCCACATCCCGTGGTTTGAATAGTTAAACATCTTTATGGCATGCATGAGAGGAATAATGGTAAGTTATTTGATAACAGCATTAGCGTATATTTATAGTTAATTCTGGGGAGGTTCTTGCACACAAAGCGAATGGCTTGTACGGTGATATTTTTGGGAGCAAGTCTGTATATATATGGAAATTGTAGATAATTTATCTTGCAAATGTATATCTTGGCACAGGATGAGTGAATTCTGTTTTGAACATTCTGTCTGTGTTTGGTAGAGCATTGTAAATTGGGATGCATTGCTACATTCGCGTATGGGTAATGCACGTCACGTGTTTCTGTGGTAGCATAAGACAATATTAATAGTGCCAAAGTTGGAATCGGCGAGCAAGTGGCTTCCTAGTCCACTTTCATGCTTTATCTTTTAGTTTGTGGATTTCTTTCGGTCCAGCCTATCTACTCTGGCTGTTCCGCCATATGTAGCTTCTATTTCATGTAAAATGCGTTGCCACGTGGTGCCAAAAATGCACTTAAGAACGTGCATGACCTTGATAAATAGTGATGAGGAATGCCATTCGATAAGTGAATCGGCGCTAACGTACAACGCCCTTGATACAAAAGGGTTCACTGCTGTGACGCAGTGGTTAGCGCACCTGGCAGCCTCTCTATGATTCCTGGCTATGGCTGACGTCGGTGGCGATTGATATCTGAGGTGGTTCTGAGCCTCCCTGCCCCTTCATCGACTCGCGCTGACCAACGCAGTGAAGTACGGTCAGACAGTGCCCATAACGACCACGATGTGTGGAGGGGCCTTCATCCAGCAGTGGATTGACAAAGCTGAAGACAAATTATTATTTATTAGTGCACAGCAGCTTTATATACACTTCTCTACACTACAGGAATTAATTTATTTTCGAATTTAATAAAATCGCAAAATTCTTAAACGTTCTCAAGTGCATATATTCCATTTAAAAACGCTGAAAACCGCCATAAACTTTAAAATGTTTTGCACATAGGTACAAATGGGTAATTTAATTGGTTCTGTCCCCTTTCCTCAGGAAAAAAGGCGGGTTTATTATTTTGTTATGATTGGTGGAATAAGATGATACGTAATGACTTTTCATTATTATTTTTCCGTGAACAAAATATTTGAATTACTGTTGTATTTTGCACCTCAGAAAAAGGATAACGTCGATTGGTGCATTTTTTTTTGTAATGATGCAAATGTACCGACAATCGAGCTCTTTCTTAAGCCTCGCGCCGCGACAATGTTTCCTTGTGTACGCTCGGTGTGTCGTTCTTTCCAGAGGTAAGGAAATGTGTTTCTCTGAGTAGACATGGGGCCAGTGTACAGAACTACTTGAGACGTCGTAGCAATATCGTAACCTCATTTTAAGATCATATTTGCCGTTTCTCCAAGTTTATATGAGGGTTTACAATGCTGGGCTTCATAAACTTGAGAAATATGACGTGTGGGCAGCGCTACTCGTAAGTAGATTTTTTTTTTACCGATCATAGAGCAAGGTTAATGACGTGAATAATGTTACGCGAATAACATTAATTAATACGATCAACATTAATAACAACCATGGGTGGAAAAAAACCCGATTTTTACAGCGGCAGGCATCAGGTTTTTTCTTTAATACAATTAAACCCGATTTCGGGGAATTAAAACCTGGTTTAATGAATACGAAACTCTGATCCAAGGCTTGGGCTGCTTCCTCGTCGGTGCTGCTATCGTACTCGGGGTAGTCGTAGAATGCGGCGGGCAGGTTGGTCTTGATGAACACGAGCTTCTCCACAATCGTGGGCGCCGCCAGTGAGTTCCTTAGCTTGGAATGGATGAAGCCCATCGTCGAGAAGTGCGGTTCTGCAATTAGAATCAATTAAACCGGATTTTTCCCAATCTCAGATCGGGTTTAATATAAAAAGACAATTAAACCCGATTGTAAAAAAACCCGACTGTGCCACCCTTGATAACAACATACACTAGTTACCTCCGCACAGACCAACTAATACGGCACGGTGGCATGCCGGCAATGTTGCAGGGGTTTCGTTCCTGGCTGGTCCAGTGGAAAGTGATGACATAATCCCGAGTAATTTATCTCGTGAGTGAGAGTTACAATCCCACAATGATTCCCATATTTACCTTGACATGCAGCCTGCCAGACGTCAGGTACATCTTTAATATATTTTTCTTTATTCTGGCCCCTGTGTTCTACTTTCAGAACCAATCAAGATCGACTGAATACAAGTCATAGATCATGTAAACTGCTTAAAAAATAATTCTCAACAATGTTTCTGTTTTGTGTGTGTTTGTTTCCTCGTAAAATGCCTTGCTTAACATGCAGCGTATGTTTGCCTATTGACCAGAAATGGTCATGCCATTAAATGTCTAAAGGGAAGGCCGATGGCAATTCACTTATGAATGTTTGCAGCACGATTGCATTTTTTTTCTTTCAGTTTTACCAAATTGGTTAAAGCATCGATGTTTAATGCATCCTTTGTTTCATTTGTGTTGTTCAGGTATGAAGTTTTGTTTTCCTTCATGCAACGCGGAGTTCACAATGTTGCATTTGTGCACTTTTATGTACATTCTGTTTTCGGAATTTTGTGTGTGTATATATGAAGGGGGAAACCCCGTTTGAGGAGTTGTGCTTCATCGCCAGCATCGATGTGGCCGAGATACTTCAAATAGAGGATTCGTAGATAAAGTTCTGCTCAAATTGTTCCAATTGTCTTCGAATGTTTAGCACTAATTATAGAGGTGGTGGTTTTATTTCTTTGACAGCAGGTTAAGCTATTTTAAGTTGGAATTTTTTTTTTAAGTTTAAGTTTATGAACACTGATATTAAAGTCCGTTTCAACTGATAACGGTGATCTGGGTGTGAAATTCTTTTACACTTTTTTGATTGTGTAGTCACATTACCATTAATACATATTCTGCATCCAGGAAAGCCTCACCGAGTCTCTAGATTAGTTCTTGAAGAGGCTCCTGCTACATTGGGATATTTTGCCCAATGAATGAGCACGTGTGTGGGATGTGAGAAGATACCGGAGCACCCGGGGAAACCCCACAACAAAATACGAGCGGGTGACGTTTGACACTCCTGGCCACCTCGCGGCCCCGTGCCGACAGCACCGGACAAGCCCTGACGGCCACCCATCTAAATACGAACCAGGCTTAAGACCTGCTTAGCTGCAAAAATATGATGTGATCAGGTGCATTGTGACTTTGTTGTTTCATGTATGAGATGTGTCATGATATGTGACCTCGTATGTCAATCACATCATACAAAAAGGGAGTCTTACAGATTAGTGCATATAATGGCACAAGCGTTTTATTTCATCAAAATTGACGCTGACACCAAGCTAACTCTGCTACGGCAACATGACAAGAATTTGTTCCAGCAGGCAACTATTTGGCTTCAATAATCTCCAATATTGCTTCTTTTTTTGTTTCAGCAACTGGTTTTGTCAGTAGGCAATTTTTTTCCTCTTTTCTCTCACATGCGCACAACCCGCGAGAGAGCAGATTGGCCTTGGTGTGCTGCTGAAATTTTTTTTTATCTGCTTCTCCCACTCGGTCAAGTATGGGTTGTAGACGTTAACACGTTCAACATGCACTCATTCTGTTCACCCCCCTCCCGATAAAACTAACAGCAAGCAGCGTGAATCGCGCGCGCACTTTTTGTTGTTGTCGTAATTTTCTAAGGTGCTTTTTGTTGTTAACTTTCGTTATCAATGTGACTGGTGGGATTCGTCTTAAAAAGGGGCGCTTAGTTTCCCTTCCTCTTGCTGTAGCCGTAGCTATCCGTGACCTCGCTGCCCTCTTCGCTGCCATTCCTCAGCGAGTAGCCGCTGAAGAAGTCGTATCCGCCCAGGTACTTGGGCATCTGCATGGAGGTGCGCAGCGGACGCGACTGCAACAGGAAGCTGGGGCTGTTGACGGGCGACACCGACGACTTGAAGGAGGAGCTGATGGTCAGGCGGGATTCCTCTCCCTCCAGGAGTTTCCTGGCAAAAACACGAGGCGCGTCGGAACAACAAACGGAGGGCTGCACGGAATGTCACGGCGCGTCACGGGGGCACGGCGGGGGGTCGAAAGTGTCGCAGGCCCCGAAAGAAAAAAAGATGAAAATAGTAATCCGACATCGATGTGTGTGTGCTGTGAGTTTTGTGTGCCCAACCATTTAACGATGAAAATCGATTAGTGGAAAAATGTGTATTGTGAAAACGGTGCTGTGTTTTTGATGGTGCTTTTATATCATTTGCAAGAGACAGTAATGCGTTACGTGGCGTGCAGCGGTGACGCAGGTGGTTAGCGCCGCACTGCGCTATGAAACCCGGTCACCTGAGTTCCAATTCCTAACTGTAGTTAACGTCAGTCACGAGTGGTACCTGAACTGCTCTTCCACCTGACCCCACCCACTCCCCCCTCCTTCACCATCCACACTCGCCAGCGTGGTGAAGTATGGTCAAACACAGCTAACACGACACGGTGAAGCCTTCGTGCAGCAGTCGATTTAGATAAGATCAGTTATTTTTACTACTAATGCTTTCTAACTCAGGTTTTTTTCGGTAAAGCCACGTAGGTAAAAAAAATGAAAATAAATCAATTAAATCACGACGTTTCGGAGGCAACACAAGCTTCCTTTATCAGGTGTAAAAAAGGCACAGCAAAATAACTGTTATGTAAAAAAGCACAGCAAAATAACTGTTATTTTGCTGTGCCTTTTACACCTGATGAAGGAAGCTTGTGTTGCCTCCGAAACGTCGTGATTTAATTGATTTATTTTCATTTATTATTATTTTATTTTTATTATTTTTTACCTACGTGACTTTACCGAAAAAACCTAAAAACCCAGTCACGAAAGCTTCAAATCTAGAATTAATGCATTCTAATTTTTTAAAATGAATATTCATACACTAACCTGTACGCTGCAATTTCGATGTCCAATGCCATTTTGACATTGAGAAGGTCTTGGTAGTCCCTCAGGTATCGTGACATCTCGTTCTTCGTTGACTGCAGTTCTTTTTCCAATTCAGGGATGAGTTCCTGCAAACAAATGGTGTAACATCTCATTTAAAAAAATATATATACAGCATTAACAATCATAATTATATTATTTGAATAGCTTAATTATTTATACCTTTGGGGTTTTTTTATTGCAGGTCTCTAAGAGTGAATTATGGGCTTTTCACCATTCTCACGAAAGGGGAAAGCGTGGCGCCTTTTCGTTGGCATTTTACTGGAAGCATTTTTTTTTATTTTTGACTGGAAACAAAATTTGCCGTTTGCTGCGTAGCGCCATCGGGCAGCTTGTGTCACGCCCCATCCCCGCCAGACCCCCCCCCTCCGTCACCCGAATCGTAACATGCCAAGTTGAAATCAACGCGGGGGCAATGCTGGCGGTGAATATTTAACACCCAATAGGATTCAGCTTCGTCTCGTGCATTAACATTGACGCAGCGACACTGCAGTGTTGCAGTGCGGCTTCACGGGTGAGATTAAAAAAAATTCCACGCGGATGCAGTTCAACACTGCATTCATTATATTCCGTATTATTTGCTATACCTCTAGATCCCGTGCTGCATTATTTTTTTTTTCACCGAATGTGGTACATCGCCCACTGAGAAATGTTTTTAAAAACTAAAAAAAATAATCGATGTTTTTTTTCCAAAATCATAGTTGCTGTGAGCACAGGCCCAAAAGGCCCGATATGCCACTCAACAAAGAGCAACGTTGAAGGTGTGACGGTTAAGAGTTAATACCGTCTCTTTAAATCGTGAGCAAAGTCGCGATAGCTCAGGGATAATTCGCCGCTGGGAAGGAATCACAAAGGCGCGCGGTGCGTGGACACTAAAAACAATCCCGAACATCTTGCAGCCCTCGTACCTGCAAGGGCTCCAACTCCTTCTGGTGCCGTTCGTCCAGATCCTGGATCTGCTTCTCCAGGGACTCGATCATGTCCTTGATGGCCTCCGACTCCAGCGTCTTGTTCTGCACGTGGCGTCGGTACTCGGAGACCTCCTCGCGGGCGACGTGCACGGCCTCCGTGTTGCGGTTGGCGTTCTCCGACAGCACCGTGAACTTGGTCTTGAACCACTCTTCGGCCGACTGCATGTTCTTGGCGGCGAGCACCTCGTATTGGGCGCGGATGTCGCGCAACGCCGACGTGAGGTCGGGCCGGGCAACGCTCATCTCCACCGTGATGTGCGCGCTCTGGATCTGGGCTTGCAGGTCTGCGATCTCCTCCTGCTGCACCTTCTTGAGGAATGCGATCTCGTCGAGCAGCGAGCCCACCTTCTGCTCGAGCGCAACGCGCTGCACCGCCGCCTCGTCCGCCGCCTTCCTCACCTCGTCGAGGGCTCCCTCCGACTCCTCGCGACGTCGCCTCTCCTCGTCGTGCTTGGCTCGCAGGGCGCCCAGCGCGCCCTCCATCTGATCGCGGCCACCCTTGGCGCTGTTGTACTCGCTCTTGCACTCCTCGGCCAGGGCGCGCAGGTCACGGATCTCCTGCTCGTACAGCTGCTTGATGTTGGAGGGGCGCACCTCTTTCTGTCGCAGGATCAGCGCCTCGGCCTCCAGCACCTTGTTCTGCTGCTCCAGGTGGTGCACGCGCTCGATGAAGCCGGCGAAGCGGTCGTTGAGGTCCTGCAGCTGGTCCTTCTCTTGCGTGCGGATGGACTTGAGCTCGTTGCCCAGAGACTCGGCCTGGGACAGGTCGATCATGTCGGACGTGGCCGGGATGGACATGCTGGAGTAGCGGGAGTGCGTGCGCCTGAACGAGCCCACAGGAACGCTCAGGGTGGAGCCGACCGACACGGAGCGCGTTCCGTAGCCGGCGGCGCCAACCTTGTAGCCGGGCATCTCGTAGCTGGCTCGGTACTTGGTGGGCTCGCCGAAGTAGCGCCTGTAGATGGACGTGACGGCAGAGTCGGATGTGTAGGAGCTCATGGTGGCGGCGGAGGTGGGAAATTGTTCAATTTGTTGGGAGCAGGCAAGAGAAGGAGGAGCGCAGGACCCGGGAGCTTGCTGCAGGAGTGAGATGCTGTGAAAGCGGGGCTGGGGCTTTTTATGCGGCTGCCGTGTCTGACGCTGCAGAATCTCTCCACCCCAATTGATTCATCTTCTGCCGCACCCAGCCAGGTCCCCACTGCAGTTCTGGGGCTGGCCGGCAAAACGGAGCCCGTGCCTGCTCGCAAGGTCAACGCAAAACGAGAGGCGTTGTGACAAGCGCAGCAAATTAAAAACTAAACATTTGGGTTTGTGAAAGCGTGCGCACATTTTAACTTTTTTTGTTATTAATATTGCGCAATTATTTTTTTGCGGCAAATATTTTTTTTCGGTTTCGAATGCTTTATTTTTGGACTGTGACCATGAATAATTCAGTAACGACAAAATGTATGTAGTATTTATGGTCCATTCAGAGCCAGCTGTCTGTCCCGTTTGCCAACGGCATATCATAAGATCACCCCCACTCAGCTGGTCCAGGTGGTACTGACCCAACCAAGACTGGCTCTTAGTCCAGTGTCCAGGTTTCATGGATGTGCCCATTTTTTGTATGTTAAAGGGGCTCTGTATTATGTGTATAAAAGCAAATTTATGACTTTGCGTAGATAGGCCAAAAATATGAATCAACTCTTGATCTGAGGTATTGACATGATTTCTTCTGCGATGTTGAGAGTTACTATAGATATGGATACGGCCATTTAAAAAAGCAAATAAAAGAAGGCGTGTACATGTCAAATAATATGCAAATAGGGTATGATCACTTGCCATTTAATGTGCCGAAAAAATATGCAGAGATAAATACACAAATACTCATTGAATAACATTTTACCATTTGCATTTAATGTCAGATTGTTTATGCATAGTGAAGCCAACTGATTATTAATTAGATGATGAATAAAGCTATTGGTATATGATGTAACTGTGCCAAATGCGCATTCTTTGATAAAACATTTTATACAAAAACATGACGTTTATACCCCGTCAATAATTGAGCGGACCGTTACATATTTGTGAGGCCGCGTGGCTTTTATGTTGTATAAACTGAATGCACTGCTGCACCGTGTGTGGGGTTAAAATCCACCGAAACTACCGCAATACCTAAATCATACTCAACGTTCTGGTTGACAAATATTGCTCAGAAATCGCTGAAGAACAGCGCGCTAATGAAGGTTCGGTGTGCTTGCGACAGCCTATGCAAATGTTTGGTGCAGGGTGGGCATGCTCCTTGAATGTGCAATGTGGACATGCTGCACCGTATTATTAATTGATATCATTAACAGACATCCTCAAGAATGGAGCAGCTTTAGTGCGTTTTTTTTCTTCAGAGTACAGCACGTGAACACGTCATGTTTTAATATAACTTACTATTTGGAAATCGTAACGTGTATATCCTGGATATCCTTGCAAATTGGATGTTCCATCTCAATGGACTACTCAGAAGAAATACTTTATTAATGATACTAAATATATATGTTAGTACCGTACGCAATTGATTTAGTATCTCTCCCACCTTGCGTTATTTCACAGACATCTGTACAAGACATGAAAGCGAGGAAGAGATCGAGAGAGAGATAGAGAGGAGATAGATTTTAACACTGCATGGCCATGTCCGGTTACTACGGTCAGCGCTGTGTGGGGTGGAGGGTTTTTTTTTTTGTGCGTCCCCTTCCCATTTTGTTCTCGGCACACAGAGAAAAGAGATGGTGGGGGGGGAGGGGGGGCCGCTTAGGGCGGCACCGACTGCATTGGAGAGCGCAACCGCAGGCGTCTACGGCCGAGTAATTAGAGCGGAGGGGCGGCTCCGTGCCTCGATGCGATCCATCGATCGCTGAGGTCGTTTGGCGCAGAGGACGACTTGGGTGTGGCAGGCGGGAGGTGGGCTATGCGAAGGACGTTTTCCCGCAGCCTCCTCCTCCTCCACCCACCCACCGCACCACCTCTGACTGTCGTCAGTCAGCAAACATAAATCCACCCAACCCTCCCATTACCCAACAAGGCACGCACAACACGCGCGCGCACGCACGCACACACACAACAACATCAACACAAAAACATTACGCGGACAATTATAACATCGTCATTTATTTAAGCCCCGTTAGAAACGTCAAGCCGCGTGCGGTTGATGTTTTACTCAGAAATAAATGTTACAGTATGCGGGTTCGTAACACGTGCGTATGGTTCCGAAAGCGTTAATCGGGGAGCGTTTGGTGATGGTTGGCACTCGTTAATGCATACGTCCGTTTGTGTTTTTTGCTCCTTGCCATACCGTGGCTGTTTGTAATTCAAGGGCGTGTCAATGTTTCTGCTGCACAGCGCCAGGTCTGCAAGCAAGCCAACTTCGGAATCAGAATTGTTATTTGTTCTGGAGAAATCCGATTAGCTATGAAGCACAGATGTCCAGTAGGGGGCGGGTCAGAAGGTTACAACAGCAATCAATACAAAAACAACGACGGGAGTGCAACGTCTAAGAAATGTAACCAATTTACGAAAAATAAATAAATAAATACACTGATCGTTACCTTTGTTTTACTTTAACCAGGTGAAGCCCACTCAGCTATATATTATTTTTCAGAAGCGACCTGGCCACAAATGATAGCTCAACGAAGTGGCTTTTACCACGTGGAAATTTCTAGCACCACCTATCAAACTAAACGCGCGTTATATTTTTTATTTTTTGCCGACGGGGAGATTAATGAGAGGCTCGCGTGAAGACGTCAATGACACTGAGTGCGTCGCTGCTTGCGACGTTTGAACATCGAACGCCGGTTAGAGGTGAGAAGCTGGTGGTGACATTCAAACACGTTTACGTTTGAATTCGAATTGCTGTGTGTAGGTGCATTGCATAATGTTCTGACCAATTGCAGTGGCAGCATCAGCGTTTCTTAATGCAGCATTTTACAAAAGGGTCTGATTCTTACGTAATGACCAATTAGAGGGCTAGGATATATGATTAAATTGTCAGTCCTGGTGTGGTGTTCCGAGTCCGTATACAGTACATTGTTTTTCGGGTTTTTTCCCTATGATTTATAATAAGTACCAAATATTTTCATTACTGTAAATGTAGACAGGAATGTAACACCGTGTGCCTTCAAGAAAATCGATCTAAATGCGCACAATCTCATCATACTCTGTCTCAGATGCCAAGCAAAGTCCAGTTTGGTTTTCCCTTGGAAGGGAGTATGTGAGGGCTTGCCAGGTGTTGTAGGCATCGGGCTACGAGATGCCCTGGAGATGGCAAAGCTGAGACTAACAAGCGGATTGATCACCATGCATAAGTGTGTTCACCACAACTACGCCCCTATATAAGGAACGAAACAAGTGGACTTCTCCACAAATGTGGCTGTCGCCTGATGAAGATAGTTGTAAATTACTGGCGAAACGTCGTACTCAGATTGTAAATGTTGTGGCTTGGCTCTCCAACACACCGGTGTGCTGTACTAGTGACGAATTGGCCACGTTCTGTTTACGTGACAACCCTTACTAGTTGGCCGTGTCGGGTGGTGGTGGGTTTAACAACACATTTATATATTTACGCGATTTAACCCAAAAAACTAAAATACTCCCATGGACGATATTGGTCGCGATAGCCTACTGCGTGTTCAACTGGGGATAGAGTTCTAGATTTGAAGCTTTCGTGACTGCAAGGATCATACTCTTAGGTTGTTTTGGTAAAGTCATGTAGCTCATTTACTTGATACAGCAAGCGTGCTGTGACGGTTCCACCTGAAGACGGAAGCTTGTGTTGCCTCCGAAACGTCGTGATTTTTATTTTACTTTTATTAATTTTAATTTATTTTTTACCTACGTGACTTTACCGAAAAAACCTAAGAGTATGGCGATAGAGTGTTGGAGCCCTCGCACATGTGAGTCTTTCTCCGCATGCTCCACGTTTTCCTTGCGCTCGTGTGAACGCTCATTATTAGTTGGCTGAAAACAAATAACAACAAACATCAATGCAGGTCCCTCGTGAAAAAAACTAATTTTGCGATTCAGTGTGGCTATATAGGCACATTGTTACAGTTACATTATCACACTGTGACGTTGATCCTTACCTGAGAATCGATAGTTCAACGTTAACGTGCCGTTTTATTGAGGGACGACTGTGCTCTGTTATCTTGGTGTGGTCTGGGACTGTTTTGTTGTTTTTGCTGGCTTGCTCAAGCTTGATAAATCAGAATTATGTATATACAGGGTGCTTGAACATATTTTGGACACTCATATGGGACTATCGTTTTTAATGGGAAAAATAAAAAGAAAAATTACTTGATAACAAATGTATGTTAATAGCGATACAAAGTCAGTCTCCACTTGTTTGTCATCATTGTCAACACGTGCTTGCAATCTTCTCCAGGTGGTCTCCAGAGCCCGGAAGAGGCACATTTCTCGTGGTATCGTTGCAAATCCTCAGAAGTGTTAACATGTTTTTGAAGCACCCTGCATATTTTGATATTATATATTTGGTGATTTTCTTACCATGCACAGAAGCGCATGTGAAAGCGCCGCGTGATGCAGTGACCGTCTTTGTTCGATGGCCGGCCAAAAGCCACTGCGAGGATGACTGGAGTTTGCTTCATGGCTTCAGGCTACAGAGCCCTATAAACATGTTGTTGTACCGCTGGACAGCTCTCCGATGCGTTTTCTGGTTGTACCGCTGGTTGCTCTGGCATGATGTCGCAACGTCGCACTCCAGAGTGCTGGGAGCTTTTTTGGGAACTGAATAATGCTGGAATATTGCAGCTGGTGTGACAGCTCGTATTCATCCAGCGACTGGGGATAGAAACTCTTTATCCTTCTCAATCTGGTTCTGCTTCTGTGATTTGTCGGTCGTAAAATAAGTGCTGTGCTCAATAGAATTCTCTACATCGATCCGCTTTTTTCTCCAAGCTGCAGGATTTAAATTACAAACTCATTAAAATTGCAAGTCTCAGAGGGGCCCCGTCTCCTTGCATGTGGTAACAGCCACGGGCTGCGTATAACCGAGGGCACAGATTAGTTTGTCTTTCTCTTGCATGTGAGATTATTCTAAGCTGGTGTGTAGAATTATTTTTAAAGCAATTATTTATAGGGTGCAATACATTTGTGAATGCATCG